AAAACTTACGGTTACATCCAGCCGCCATTTCAACTGTAAAATGATGAGAACTTTCGTCCAATTTAGTACTGCGCTTAAATTTATAAAATCCAGATAGCAAAGACGAAATCTTCTCAGAACAATTGCCATAAAAATATTTATAGAAAAGGCCCAAGGAAGCTAGATTATGGCGGTTTGAAAGTGATTGAAGCCGAGATACCAGGTCAGGACCGATAACATTGTAGTTTTTTCCTTAGATTTTATCAAGAATCTCTAAATACATAACAGAAGAACCAGATGGGACAGCAATATTCAAAGCATAGATGAATGGTAGACTTATAAATGTGTAAGATAGATTCTGGCGAGAAAAATTGTCTAGCACGACACAGTGGACCAACTTTCCCTTTAAATTCACTTTTATAATGCTTTAAACATTATAATATCCTGTAGGAAATCCCCAATAAAAGCCTAACATACGTGCACAGGAATGAAAGAATAACGGAATGATATGATTTTTAAAAATAAATAGCATGTCCCTTCAAGGCGACTATAGCCCTCTACAGATCTCTTTTCTTCATTATCAGTGAATTTCCATGACTTCCTGGGAAAGATAGTGAAGTGGTTTATCGCTGCCTACTTTACAGATACTTTTTCTTTATTATCTGTGAATTGTCGTGATTTCTTGGGAAATATAATGAAGTGGTTTCCCGTCGTCTTACAGATACATTTTCTTTATTTTGGATGAATTTCTATGTCTTCCTGGAAAAGATAATGGAGTGGGTTCTCATTGCCTTCTTTATAGGCACCATTATTAGCTGTGAATTGCAATGTCTTCTTGGGAAAGATAACGGAGTGGTTTCCTGTTGTCTACTTTATAGATACGTTTTCTTTATTTTCGGTGAATTTCAATGACTTTCTGAGAAAGATAGTGAATTGGATTCTCGTTCCTTTCTTTAGAGATTTCTTTATTATCTGTGAATTGGGGTGGCTTCTTGAGAAAGATAATGAAGTTGTTTCCCGTTGTCTTTTCGACGGTCTTGAATTCAAATTTCTCCATCTCATGGAGGAGAAGCAAAGAAAAAAACACAAAAAGCCAAAAGAAAACGAAAAAGAAACACCGAGAATAATCAAGGAAGAAAAACATAAAAGAAGGGACCTCACCAAGAAACAAAAGAAAAAAGATAGTGAAATACATGCACAGACATTTAAGTGATCAATACTGCTACGAATTTAGAGTAAGCCTGAACAGTAACAGGCCAAACACCACCCAGGGACTCCGATCCAAATCGTAACACACTATATTACAATTTCAATTGACGTCCCTGAGTTTTGTTTGCTCTGTTAGTATATATATATATATATATATATATATCAGCCGAAATTAAAGAAACCATACGGAGTTTAGAACGGCTCATGATCAAGCATAATAGACATCCATTGTCTGTTATATTTAACAATATGTATTTAAGCATATATATATATATATATAAGCCACTATCCATTACTCCACCGTGCCTCCTATATATATATATATATATATATATATATATATATATATATATATATATATCAACACAGGCAACACACATTATAACCAGAGTCATTCATTTGTTTTGTTTTTTTACGGCTTATCAACCCTTGTATGAGTTATTTAAAGCCAAAACATATTTAAAATTGTATGAACAATTCTTTTTTTGTGAGTGAATTAACAAATGAATTTGTGGGGGGATAGCCTTTATTTTTGAAGATAAAAGTCCGCACTATTTAACTCATAGCCGGTTGTGGGAGAAGTAAAGATGGTTTCATATCATTTTCAAGAATATTTGCGCAGGAACTCATCTTCCTTTGCAAAGATTTCTCGAAGGTGCATACCGATAGACGCAATACACATTGTTTAAAATAAGAATTGGACGTTCATTTCAAATATTGAATATGCACCTTAATTACCGCTTGAAGTAATATATATGTATGTATGAATGTTGGACAAATCGAGTTATTTTTTTAAAAAAAAAAACAAGATTAAATTTCTGGCCATTCCTTCTGCCTTTGTTTCTTTTGTATTTAAAAATTCAAACTATTGTATATTTATCCCGAAAGTGTAACTTACACTCGTGACCACTGAACCGACGGCGATTGCTGAGGTGGTGTCGATGACATGTCATAAGAAAAAAAGGTAAAATGTTTCAACGGAGATAATCAGTTTGAATAAAAATATGTAATCTCCAATATTTGTTTGTAATGTTGTATAACTTCATGACGTAAGCGATTATGGCTCACCAGAGATACCTTTTCCTTATCTATAAATTGCCATGATGACTACATGACGAAGTTAGTAGAGTTGTTTCTTGTTGCCTTCTTCATGGTTTTAAATTATTATTTTCTTAAACCGTCTGTTAACAAAGGCTACGGAACATAATCTACCCTTCTATCTAAGACATAACAGGATATAGAAGAAATGGATTTATACATTTTCCAAAGCGCCTGAAGACACTAAATTTGGCCTGGACTTACCGGCCACTCTTCGTGGCCAAGTCGTTTAAGGCGTGTCAGGCTTAACTATATATATATATATTGCGTTTAGCATGGAACAGACTTTCGTCTCTGGGTGTTGCCTTCAATGTCCACTTTTATATTTACATACGCTCTATCTCTGATATTGAGCAAATTAACCCTTAAATATAGCATATCTTAAAATTACATTTTATTACACACACACAAAAGACAAAGACACACACACACATATATATATATACATTGTGTGCATGTGTGTAAAAATTCAGATAGAAATAAAAAATGTATATATATATATATATATATATATATATATATATATGAATAAAGATATATATATATAGATATTTATAAAGATATGTACATCTTTATTCATATAAATATATATATATGAATAAAGATATATATATATATATATAGATATATATATATATATATGAATATACAGATTCATTTTTTATTTCTATCTGAATTTTTACATTCATGCACACATATATATATACATTGTGTGCATGTGTGAAAAATTCAGATAGAAATGTATCTGTATATCTTTATTCATATATATATATATATATATATATATATATATATATATATATATATATATATATATATGAATAAAGATATTTATAAAGATATGTACATCTTTATTCATATAAATATATATATGAATAAAAAGATATATATATATTCATATATATATATATATATATATATATATATATATATATATATATGAATATACAGATTTTTTTATTTCTATCTGAATTTTTACATTCACCCACACACGCACACACAAATATATATATATATATATATATATATATATATATATATATATATACCCTTGATAATAGCAAAAGATCAGCTGCAGATTGGACAGTTTTTACACACACTGTGTCCAGAAAAGAGAAGGTGACTAGAAAGCCTAATCACCGTGCCTTGTAAGTCGTCTTCAATGTAAGTTGTATAATTGAGGGTTTGCTGCCCAAATATACACACACATTCACAATCAAACATTCACACACACACACACACACACACACACACACACACACACACACACATATATATATATATATATATATATATATATATATATATGATGAAAATATTGTTTTAAGGAGCATGCTATATTTGTGGTTTAAAGAGCTCAATATCGGAGAACAGACCATATGTAAATATATAAATGGACATTGAGGTCAACACCCAGCGGCGACAGTCTGTTGACCGCAATATCCACTTGCTATTTTGAATTTTATTACTTCTTTACATCTTTAAAATTGGGTGAAGCTATTTATTTGTATTTTTTTTATTTTTTGAGCATGATGTATATTTTTATATTGGAAAGTAGGTAGATATTTCAGTATTATTTATAGGTGCGTATTAAGCCCGAAGAAGATTCACTGCCCAACATATGAGGGTGTGCTGAAAGTTTTCGACTCGACATTAAGAAGAAACGTCCCCGTGTATTGAGAACACAGAAACATTCGTCTTCTTTTTATGTGCCATGACCTTTCAGGACGTAGGTGGTCATGGCTCTCCACCTCCTTCTATCCCTTGCACCTCTCAACAAGTTCCTTCCCTCTGATTCCTCCCCCAGACCACGTTCTGTCATCCACTTGCTTAAGCCCGCTAGGTATGTCATGCTTTGTTTTCCCTTGTCTCTCTTTCTCTCTATTCGACCCGTGAGTATCAGATTCTCCAGGCCCTCCTTCCTCATTATGTGCCCCAGGAACTTCAGCTACCTCTACCTGATGTTAGGCATAAGCCTCCTCCTTGTTTCTTGTGATAAGAAAATTATTAACAATTTCATGGGGTGTCATACTTATTTCTACCACTATATATATATATATATATATATATATATGGGGGGGGGTGTCCTTCAAATCCGTAGATGATGTATCGTAATCTGCCTCTGATCTGTGAAGTCGGAGGTGGCTCCGCAACCCTAAGCAGGAGGTGCTGAGTCTAGAACAGTGGGGGCGCTGAAAGTCTGTCGTCACAATCACTGCTGACGATACCCTGTGGCGTTGACCTCTGGCAGAGGTGAACTTCTGGCGTCGAGTATCCTCGAAACTGTTAGCAGCATCACGAATTTTGATTCGCCAACGTGGTCAGGCACTGGTGGCGCGCTCCTCTTGTTCTTTGTTGCACCCCTGGAGATTAGCTTTCACAGTGTCTTTGCACCGCTTCTATGGAAGGCCTTGGTTTTTCTTGCCGTGCAGGTGCTCTCCGTACAGCAGACGTCTTGGCAAGCGGTGCTCCTCCATGTGGATGACGTGCCCCACCCATCGGAGTTAGGCCTTAATGAGCATGGACTCAATACTTGAGGAGTCAGTACAATCCAGGGCCTCGAACGTGGTCCTGCCAGCGAATGCTGAGTATGGAACGTAGAGCTTGCACGTGGAAGTTCTTCAGCTTCTTGGTGTGTCTACAGTACAGTCCCAGACTCAAAACCACATAGAAAGGAAGGCAAAACCACTCCATTTACACTCTTAGCTTTGTAGTCAGCCGAATTGTTGTGTTGACTGAGCACTCTGTTGCTCACTATCACTATCAATTTCTTTGTCCAAAGAGCTGTCATGAGAGATGATACTTTCCAGGTATTTGAAATGCTCAATATTGGCAAGCTGTGTGTTATTGATGACGATGGTCGATGCTGAGGTGTTTGTGTTTGGTGTGGGCTGATGAAGCACCTCAGTCTTGCCGAGGCTGACTTTCAGACCGAAGAATTTGGAGGCGTCAGAGAAGTTGTCCAGCATCAGCTGTAGATCAGACTCTTCATGTGCCACTAGTGTACAGTCACCAGCAAAGAGGACTTCCTGGAGGAGATCTTGGGGGCTCTTTGTCGTGGCAGTGAGGTGACAAACGTCGAAAAAGTAGCCGTCCAAACAGTCGTGAATGTAGACTCCCTGCTCCAGATCCTGGAGACCTTGGGACAACATGCAGGCGAAGAAGACGTTGAATAGGATCGTGGCTAAGACACAGCCCTGCTTTACACCGTTGCTGGCCTCAAAAGTGTCCGTCACGTTACCACTGGAGAGGACCTGGCCAGTCATACCGTCATGGAAGAGCCTAATCATTGTCACAAACTTCGGTGGGCATCCGATGCGCTCAAAGACTGTTCAAAGTGCTTCTCTTATCATATATATATATATATATATATATATATATATATATATATATATATATCCGTGTTCAAATTAATTGAAGCAAAATGAATAATTCCGTTGTTATTTACTTTTTTTCGTATTTTCCAATGAAAAATGACCCAATACACATGTTAGTACTTCTTATGCCCATTCCCCGAAGTCTTTTCTTGCAGATTGACCACAGATTCTCAATTGGATTTAAATCAAAAGAGTTTCCGAGTCAGTCTTTAGTACTTTGATTTGCTCACTGGTAAGGCCATCGCAGACAAAGCTGTAGGACGACTAATCGACAGTCGAGACAATGGTGTCTGGGCGTAATAAAAATCTGATGCAATCACGGATGACGCAATATTTTCAAGGTAAAACAAATTTCATCATTTTCACCTCGAAAATAGATTTATATTTTAGTAAATATATCTGTTAAAATGGGATCTCGTTGTTATTTTTATTTTTGCAGAATTTAGACGACATTTTTCCATCGCACCGTGTATATATATATATATATATTTCTCTCTCTCTCTCTATATATATATATATAGTAGATCAGCCGATCAAGCTACCATGGTTTCAACCTTTCGGTATCTTCAGGCGATCCAGGCTAAATAATTTACTAATGCTTTATTATTTAAAATATATAAAAACAGACACGAAAGCGCTCGTGCGTGTTCGTGTTTAGCCCAACGGTTATCGATGCGGAAAATGGGTTCGGTGTGCTGGGTTCAAATCCCGGACGTGACCGTTTCGCCCAAACAGCCTTCTCCGCCAGCAGCTATGAATTAAATAATAGGATAATCTTGGCTATCTAACCTTATTTGTCAACCAATCTAGGAGAAAGACAACTCTGAATAAAAAAAAATCAGCTGTCCTCTCAGTCACCGGGTTGGCGGCATTTAATGGTTGAAACAACAAAATGCGAATCAGAACCAGAGACATTCTAGTCAGTGAAGGTGATTAACATATATATATATATATATATATATATATATATATATATATATATATATATGTGTGTGTGTGTGTGTGTGTGTGTGTGTGTGTGTTACGAATCCACCTCATTTCCCCCGTCTTCCAATTGTAAAGAAGAAGTTTCACCAAGAATTCCTTTTCCCAAGAATACTGCTTTGTGCATTAACACTACAATCTTAATCTCTTTAAGTCAAAGGTCAATGGTTATCTTTGCTTCTTTCCCCAATAATGTTAACTTCTTGTCACCTCCTTTAAATTGAGTGGCCCGCGAGCCTTGTAATGGGTAAACTTTAGTATAAAAAAGGCAAAAAAATGGATCCAGTTTCGTTTTATTTTTTCTTTCCCCCTTTTTTTTTTCTAAATTCTTTTTGTGTTCTTCCATTTTTTCTCGCTTTCTTTTCTTTTGTTTTTTTTGTGTTTCTTGTTTTTTCATATCATTTTATTCACTTTCTTCTCTTGATCCCTTCCTGATTATTAATTTTTCTTTCTTTCTTTCTTTCTTTCTTTCTTTCTTTCTTTCTTTTCTTTCATTATCTCACATTCTTTTCCTTTCTTTTTCTTTTCTGCTTCTAGTTTTTTTCTTTCTTTCTTTCCTTCTTTCTTTCATTTTTCTCGCTTTCTTTTCTTTTCTTTTTCTTTTGTCTCTCTAACTTTTTCTTTCTTTCATTTAAATCCACACGCATCTATATTATTCAAACCCTACGTTTAGGAGGTGTACGTATTTGCAAATTGCATATTTACTTGTGTCAGTAAAGATGCGGAGTTGATTTAACAATCAACGGCGCAGAAATTGAAATCGGCGAACCGATTTCAATTTCCTGCTGAGGTAGTGTGTTTTCACTTCCCACTGATGCCAAATAAGTCAGGGATTACTGATTCGGGTTATTTAGATAGACACCACCAAATGCTATGCCCCAGTGAGGTACACTGACGATCTCTGAAGCCCTTTGTTTTGATTGCTGTTAACCTGCATATGGTACGACAGTGTGATTACTTATTACATAAACATCGATGTCTGAATTGGCTTCGTCTCTGTTCCACCCAGATAAAGTCATTAGCGGTAACGAAAATTCAGTTCATTATCTATCTATCTATCTATCTATCTATCTATCTATCTATCTATCTATCTCAGTCTGTTGATATCTATCTATCTATCTATCTATCTATCTATCTATCTATCTATCTATCTATCTATCTATCTATCTCAATTTGTTGATATCTATCTATCTATCTATCTATCTATCTATCTATCTATCTATCTATCTATCTATCTATCTATCTATCATTGTCTATTTTGGTGTGCCACACAGAGTTCGCTTTATTTCGTGTCCTATCGCAAAAAGAAAAAAAGAAAAAAGTGAAGATATTACAAAATAAGCAACAATGGCTATGTCAGAAAGAAAAATAGAAATCTCTTTCTTTTAGAATTTTAAAACTTAACGACAATATAAAATCGCGCTTTTTAGACACGTATACACACGCACACACATACACGCATATGCACACATGCTCACGCGCGCGTACACATACACGTACTTGTTACTGGTTATAAACAACTTAAAACTTATGGTGACAATTTATTTTAGAATCCCACGCAAAATTATTTTACTCAGTGCTTTTCCCTGGTGGCCTCAAAACCCATAATCACGTAACTCTTATATATATATATATATATATATATATATATATATATATATATATATATATATATAAATTTATTCTTGAGCACATATTTCTCTGAAAAATTTATATATAATGTTTTATATACATCATCATCATCGTCGTCATCGTCTTCATCATCATCATCATCATCATCATCATCATCATCATCATCAACAACAATTGCAAGTCTAGAACTAGACAAAGGTTTTTGTTTCCTAATTCATTTCATTAAGACCCTGTGTTATTCGATGCTATGTATTACCAGCACACTCCTCTATCTCATATCTGCATTCTCCATCTGTTTTATTACTACAGCATTTGTTATTCATTTGCCACCACTCGAGTAACCTTTTTTACTCCATCTGTTGTCTTTTCTCCTATGTGGACTACTCATCTAAATTTTCACCGTTTAAATCCTTTCCCGCCAATTATTTTATCTAGAATTTTGAAGGTGCCGCACCCATATCAACATAGATATTCGCAAATGATCGGAGTATACTCTAAGGCAAATTATATATGTAAAGTAAAAAGAGGGTTGGTCCGAGAAACGACCCCTGGGGTACGCCTGCTTTGATTGCTAGGGTCCCAGAGGACTTGTTGTTAACAAATTCTGTTAGGAAAGACTTTATTATTGAGAAGACTCTTCCAGTGAATCGATAGCTACAGAGCTTGAGCAGCAATCCTTTGTGCCAAACCTTGTCAAGGACCTTTGAAATATCTAATGCTATGGTCTTTGGGGTGAATTTGTTGTCTAGTGCCTCACTGATTCTGTGAGTAATGGTACTTAGGAAATCTGTACTGCCTGTCGTTCAAGATTTTGTTCTTATTTAGGTAATCAACGACCTTCTTGGAGATTATAGCCTCAAAAAGTTTGCTAATGATGCTGAGGAGACTGATGAGTCTATACTGAGAGAGAGATAAGCGCCCGCGTTCTTGAAAACCGGACAGACTTTTGTCACCTTCCACAGATTTGGGAAAGAATTTCCCTTTCAAGCAGCGGTTAAATAATTTCGTGAAGATGGGGGATAGTTTCGGGTTTTGATATTCCTAAGTTCAACCACTGAGATTTTGTCTGGGCCAGTGGCTTTCATAGACTTCCTGGACTGTAATGAAAATACTACTGAGATTGCAAAGTGATACGGGGGAAGTCAGGAAGGGGAGATCCATTGTCTTCTAATTTTGAGCTCGAGACATGAATAGAAGCGAACAGCTTTGCCTTATCTGACAAGGAAGATAAGCCATTTAATAATAGTGGGCACACAACTGCTTTGTCTCTATTCATAATCTATTTGGTGATCTAGAACTCTCGGGATCCAATTTGTTTTCAAACTTCGCCTGGGCCGCTTGTGCATATCTACACTTTGCATTTTCCAGAACTTTATTGCAGTAATTGTGGGCCATTCTGAATGCAGTAAGAGTCTAACTAGACCGCTCCTTGGGATAGATATCGAAGTAGTTGTTACGGTGAGCTATGGTTGCAGTGTATTCAGGGTTGAACAAGGGCTGGCTTTTTTGGTGAAATCTTTTTTGGTCAGATAGGGAGGTTATATAAAACTCTCCATTCCAGAAAGGATCCATTGTGAGACGAGGGTAGCAGTTTTGGAGACAGCATGTTTAAAGAAGGTTAAGAGAGGAGTTTCCGCCATGTAAGATCTAAAGCCAGTCTGCCTTCATGTAACGAAAAAATCGTTCTATGGAACGGCCACTCAGGGCATACCTTTGATTTGACATTGAAAATGGGATGGTCTGACGTGCTAGGAGGGAATTTTTGGTAAACATTTTTCAGGGCAGGGTATGAAGAGGATGTCAAAGAAGTTTATCTGATGTCCTGTTGCGTCAGTAACACGGTTAGGTTCTCCGAGGAACTGAGTTAGTTCATAGGCGATGGAGAAGTCTCTGCAATATCCTCCTTCTTCATCGGTTTTGTTCGTGTGGACTAACTACTCTTTATGGTGGATAATGAAATCATCAAAGATTTCGGGTGATTGTAGGTGGCAGGGAAGTTGGAAATCGACAGGTAGTTCCACAAGCGAGAAGTGCGAGAAAAGAAGCTTTTAGAATAGAACATACGGTTACATTTAGGTAGTCCAATAGGAAAACGGTGAGATCTTGATTGCCAATTTAGTAGTAAGCTTAAATTCATGCAATCGGGGCACTAAGGAGGAAAGCTGATCAGAACAATTGAGAGGAAAATATTGTTAGAAAAGACAGAGGGAAGCCATTTCATGCTGGCTGAAGTCGAGATACCAGGTCAGAAGCTATTATATTACAGAGTTTTC